TCATAAGAGACAGAGGGAGACAGAGGCAGAGGCAGAGGGAGAAGCAGGCTCCATGCAGGGAGCCTGATGTGGGACTCAATCTCAGAACCACCCTGAGCAGACACCCAACCACTGAGCCACCCACACACCCCTGTGTTAAGATCTTCTGCTCAGGGATCCCTGGGTGGCGCAGCGGTTTGGCGCCTGCCTTTGGCCCACGGTGTGATCCTGGAGACCCAGGATCGAATCCCACATCGGGCTCCCGGTGCATGGAGCCTGCTTCTCCCTCTGCCTGTGTCTCTGGCGCTCTCTCTCTCTGTGTGTGACTATCATAAATAAATAAAAATTTTAAAAAAATATTTAAAAAAAAAATTCTGCTCATCTTTTTTGTTCATTGTTTTTAAATAAGAGGGCTTTTTTTTTTTTTTTTTTTTTTTTTAGTATATGTGATGCAGAAGAGAGCACATGAGGACTTTTTTTTTTTTCCATTAAGTTTTTAGTTTTAATTCCAGTGTAGCTAACATGCAGTGTTATGTTTGGGGTGCACAGTGTAGTGACTCAGCACTTCCACACATCCCTCTGTGCTCCCCATGGTCTGTGTGCGCTTCATCCCCTGGACCTAGTGCAGTCCTCCTCCCCCTTGCTGACCACAGTTCTCTACAGTGAAGGGTCTGTTTCCTGGATTGTTTCTCTTTTTTCCTTTGCTTGTTGTTTCTACAATTCCACATATGAGTGAAATCAGATGGTATTATCTTTCTCCGACTAACTTATTTCACTTAGCACAATACCCTCTAGTTCCATCCATGTTGTTGCAAATGGCAAGATCTCACTCTTTCTGATGGCTGAGTAATGTTCCAGTGTGTGTACACACCACCTCTTCTTTACCCATTCGTCTGTTCATAGACACTGCTTTTCCACATGTTGGCTATTGTAGATAATGCTGCAAAAACATTGGGGTGCATGTATTACTTTCAATTACTGATTTTGTATTCGTTGAGTAAATACCCAGTAATGTGATTAATGGATTCTAGGGTAGCTCTATTTTTAACTTTCTGAGGCACCTCCATACTGTTTTCCAGAGTGGCTGCACCAGCTTGCATTCCCACTAGCAGTGCACGAGGGCTCCCCTTTCTCTGCATCCTCTCCAACACCTGTTGTTTCCTGTGTTGATTTTAGCCATCCTGACAGGTGTGAGGTGATAATCTCATTGTAGTTTTGATTTTCACCTCCCTGAGATGAAATGTTGAGCATCTTTTCATGTGTCTGTTGGCAATCTGGATGTTGTCTTTGGAGGCATGTCTATGTCTTCTGCCCATTTTTGAATTAGATTATTTGCTTTTTGGGGTATTGAGTTGTATCAGTTCTGGTATTGAGTTCTATATACTCTGAATACTAACCCTTTATCAGATGTTTCATTTACAAATGTCTTCTCCCATTCTGTAGGTTGTCTTGTAGTTTTGGTGATTGTTTCCTTTACTGTGCAGAAGCTTTTTATTTGATGAAGTCCCAGTAGTTTATTTTTGATGTATTTCCCTTTCTTCAAGAGATGCCCGTTTTTAAATTGCATTGTTTTTTTTTTAAGATTTTTATTTATTTATTCATGAGAGACACAGAGAGAGAGAGAGTGGCAGAGGCAGAGACACAGGCAGAGGGAGAAGCAGGCTACACGCAGGGAGCTGACGTGGGACTCGATCGTGGGTCTCCAGGATCACGCCCTGGGCGGAAGGCGCGGTAAACCGCTGAGCCACCCGGGCTGCCCTTATTGTTGAGTTTCTTTCTTTCTTTTTTTTTTTTTTATTGTTGAGTTTCAAAACTTCTTTATTCTGGATACAGGTGCTCTATCTATACAGGATGAGTGATTTTCTTTCTTTTTTTTTTATTTTTTAGATTATTTATTTATTTATTTATTTATTTATTTATTTATTTATTATTTATTCATGAGAGAGGCAGAGACATAGGCAGAGGAAGAAGCAGGCTCCCCCTGGGGAGCCCAACCCAATGCAAAACTTGATCCCAGGACCCAGGATCATGCCCTGAGCTGACGGCAGACACTCAACAACTGAACCAACCAGGTGCCCCAGATGGGTACTTTTCAAATATTTTCTCATAGTCTGTGCCTTGTCTATATTCTCTCTAACAGTGTCTTTCACATAGAAAAAAAAAGATAACTTTGTAAATGTCTGTTTCATTGATTTTTTTTCTTAAGTTGACCCCATGTTTAGTGTTGTATCTAAAAACTCACTGCTGGGCAGCCGGGGTGGCTCAGCAGTTTAGTGCTGCCTTCAGCCCAGGGCCTGATCCTGAAGACCTGGGATCTAGTCCCAACTCGGGCTCCCTGCATGGGGCCTGCTTCTCCCTCTGCCTGTGTCTCTGCCTCTCTCTCTGTGTGTCTCTCATGAATAAATAAATAAGTAAATAAATAAATAAATAATCTTAAAAAAAAAAAAACTGCTGGCACACCTGGGTCGCTCAGTTGGTTAAGTGTCTGCCTTCAGCTCAGGTGACAATCACAGGGTCCTGGCATCAAGCCCTGCATCAAGCTCCTTGCTCTATGGGGAGTCTGTTTCTCCTTCTCCCTCTGCTTGCTCCCTCCTGCTTATGCATGAGTGTGAACATTCTCTCTAATAAATAGTAAGATCTTTTAAAAAATAAAAACTCACTGCCAAACCCAGGATCATGCAGGTTGTTTTTCCCCAGAGCTTTATAGTTTTATGTTTTCCATTTAGGTCTATGATCCATTTTGAATTAATTTTTATATAAGGTATGAGGAATGTGTTGAGGTTTATTCTTTTGCTTGTGGATATGCAATTGTTCTAGCACCATTTGTTGCAAAAACTCCTTCCTTCATGGAATTGCTTTTGCCTTTTGTCAAAAATCAATTGAGCATATGGGGGTCTAGTTTTAAGCTGCCTTTTCTGTTGCATTCATCTAGTATCTATCCTTTGACTAACACTACCTTGTCTTAGTACCTGTGGCTTCATAGGAAGTCTCAAAACCCGGTCATGTGAATCCTGCAACATTATTCTTTTCCCACTTGTTCGTTTGCCTTTTGTCGCAAGCCTTCTATATCCTTGTGTCATGGCCTCTGTGACACTTTATTTTTTTCTTGAAAAGACTGAAACATTTTAAGAACATGATTTTTATTCTATTCATATTTCTAGCACCTCTTATAGTTTGGGGAGCCTTAGTTGCACAATACGTGTGTCCCAGAAGATCCAGAAGGGGCTAGCTAGTCCTCACAACTTGGGTGCAGAGCCAGAGGGAGGAGTGTTGTAGGGACATAGACAGAAACCCAAAAATAGGACTGTTGTTTGGCAGATGGGTGCCAGGCATGTGGAAGATCTGACAGTAGGTGGGACTCGGATAAGAATTCTTCCCAAAGGGTATCCCTGGGTGGCTCAGCGGTTTAGCGCCTGCCTTCGGCCCAGGGCATGATCCTGGAGTCCCAGGATCGAGCCCCGTGTCGGGCTCCCGGCATGGAGCCTGCTTCTCCCTCTGCCTGTGTCTCTACCTCTCTGTCTCTATGTCTATCATAAATAAATGAATAAATCTTTAAAAAAAAAAAAAAAGAAAAGAAAAGAATTCTTCCCAAATACCAGTGGCACTGTCCTTGAGAAGCACTGTGCTTGGGATGCCTGGGTGGCTTAGCAGTTGGGCATCTGCCTTTGGCTCATGGCATGATCCTGGAGTCCCAGGATCGAGTCCCACATTGGGCTTCCTGCATGAAGCCTGCTTCTCTCTCCTTGTGCCTCTGCCTCGCCCCCCCCCCGCCTTCTGTGTCTCTCATGAATAAATAAAATCTTTAAAAAAGAGAGAGAGAAGCACTGTGCTTGAACACAATGTAGTCTAATTTCTTTCTTTCTTTTTTTTTTTAATTTATGATAGTCACACACACAGAGAGAGGTGGGGGGGTAGAGACACAGGCAGAGGGAGAAGCAGGCCCCATGCAGGGAGCCCAACGTGGGATTCGATCCTGGGTCTCCAAGATCGCGCCCTGGGCCAAAGGCAGGCGCCAAACCCCTGCGCCACCCAGGGATCCCCTGTAGTCTAATTTCTTAATGGATAGGTAGATGGATAGATGAGTGAATTCAAAATGAAAAATATCTTAACATATTTGTTTCTCTTGAGGTATAATGTAAGATTAGGATGTTATATTAAATATCAATTGCTGTGTAACAAATTATGCTAACCTCAGTGGCTAAAAACACAAACATTTACCCCACAGTTTCTCTGGGTTGAAGTTTGCCAGCTGCACCTACATCTGGTTCCTGTTCAGGATTTCACATGGCCCTGTGACAAGGATGGTGGGCCAGGCTGTGGGGCTTTCAGGGTGCAGTAGGGAGATGGTCCTACTCCAGGCTTGGTCATGTGGGAGTTGCGTGCCTCAGTTCCTTGCCACAGGACTGCTTCACTGCGTGGCAGCTGGATTCCCCCGAGAGAGCAAGACAGGCTTCCCAAGATGGGGGTAATCTCAGACATGCCATCCTATTGCAGTTGTCTTCAGCGTCAGTGAGTCAGTAAGTCCAGCACACATTCAGGAGGGGAGTACGACACAAACACAGACACCAGGAGTCAGAGATGGGTGAGGCTGCCTCCCACCCTGGAGGAGAAAGCCCATATCCTGCCATGGGGACTACCTCAGGTATAACAATGATTATGCTTTTCTAGATCTCCTTTGAGGATGTGGCTGTGGACTTCACTTTGGAGGAGTGGCAGCTACTTAATCCTACTCAGAAGAACTTGTACAGAGATGTGATGTTGGAGAACTATAGCAATCTAGTTTTCTTGGGTAAGAATATTCTTATATAAATAGTGTGTATCCAATAACTGGGGCCTCTAAAATGTTTACTAATTTTGGACCTAAGTTTCAGATGTCAAAGATTCTTTAATTTCTATACCCAATTGAAAGATTTTTGGTTCACTTGCTTTGTTTTATAACCTTTGCAGTGAATATTCTTCATATTTAAGAGTCCATCATTGCAAGGAATTGGGTCCAAGTTGTCTGTGTTTCCACTGAACAGGTTATCACATTATCAGACCTGATGCAATTTTCAAGCGGGAGCAAGAAGAGCCGTGGATGGTGGAGAAAGAAGTTCTAAGTCAGAGCTTTGCAGGTGAGAGGGAATCAGGTGTATGTGTACGTGCAAATTGAATCTCGGGTTTTTGATGATAGGTTGCTTATAATGTTTTGAAAAGTTATTCATAAAACTGCTGGAAGTTCCTAAGTCTTTAGAGTTGGCTCAGGGCTAGTGACCTGAGTTCTCCTGGTTTCTAATGTGCTCTGTCCTGGTCTCCACATCAGGATGTGTCCTCTTTGTGCGGAGCTGGTGATGGCACGTTCCCCCTTCCCTAGACAGCGGCACGAGCTGGTGGCCAGCATTTAGGACAAGGATTCTCCTCCCAGCCGCCTCAGCTCCCTCCTCCTCTCCTGCGCTTCCACCCAGCAGGGGTGGGCTTCCTTCTTCCTCCTGAAGAATTCATAACTTTCTCCTGTTACAGGGACGCCGACTGAGTCCTTCTTTTTTTCTTTTCTCTAATTTGCCAGGTTTCTGATTTAAACCCATAGAGAGTAGAAGATGCAGGTAGAATAAAAACCAAATATCGTAAGCCTGGTGAGGACACTTTCCCTCGCCCATCTTCTGTGCTGACTGAGCCCTTTGCAGGCAACTCCCTGGGTGCTTTTCACTGCATTGATGTCCACCTTCTCGAGGCTTCTCACTAACCCTTCAAAGAGACTACTGGTTTTCAAACCCCCAAGTGCTGTGTGATATTTTAACTACATTTATGTTGGAGGACCTCATGGTATGGCAACATCTTATCCATTTGTTTTTTGTTTTTAATTTCTGTTGCCAGAAGTCAGGGCTAACTCCATTCGAACAAGTTTCTTCCTCCAAGCCTTTCATACATTTTTCTCTGCACTTGAGCCTTTGATCCTCAGATCTTTTCCCCACGTGGACACTATGTGTCTCTTCAGTTTGAGCCATTTCTCATACCCAGGGGTGTTGGTTCCCAGTGTGTGATCTCTGCCCACTTAGGATTGCATTATGGGAACTTCGGCCCTAGTCAGACATTATCTGGGACTTTTAACCAATTTTTAACCAAGTAGGTCTTAATGATTCCCCCCCGCCCCACATAGAAAGACTGCAAGGAACATATTCTCTCTCCCCTGTAGAATTTATAGGGTATAATTATTAAATGTTTCATTAAGTGAGTGTTGTGGGGCCAGGTAAGGCAGGACCTTTCTTATCAAGTATTACTTTAGGGCAAAGGTTTTTATCTAAGCAAGTGTCTCAGCTTACCTTAGGAAATACTTCAAATTATAGATGTCCAGGTTCCATTCCCATGGATGATTAGGTCTGGGTATGTGTAGCTTAGAAAATACTAACTGTGCAGATAAGTTTTGTATTCACTCATTAATGTAGACAACCACTATTATGTGGCATAGAGAAAGAGTCATGAAATAGGAAGAGAAGTTTAACATAGAATAAAATGCAGAACTATATTTATTCAATAATTCAGTATTTGAACAAAAAGTATTTATATTAAAATGCAAAGTTATTTATTAAGATTAATGATACAGAGGGGAACTGCTTTAGAAGTCCAGTTGTGAATGAACAGTGTTTATCCCACATGTATTGAGGGCTTGCTCTGTGCTATGTATAGATGTACATCAGTGACAAGTACAAACTTATTCCTTGCCCTCAGGGTTTATACTCTTGTGGGGGACACAGAAGTAAGATGATTACCTCTTTGATAAGTACTATAAAGGAAATAAACAGGATATTGTTAGGATGTCCTTGAAATGATTTTTACACTTGAATGAGCCATGCCAAAAACTAGGAAGAGCATGCCAAATAAAAGGAACAGCCATTGCAAAGGTCCTGAGGCAGGAAAGGCCTTTGGGCTCAAAGGGATGGGAAGGAATTCAGTATGGCTAGCAGCAGTGAGCAAAAGTGTGAGAGGAAGTCAGAGAGATTGGAAAAGATCAGGGCATGCCAGAACACACAAGCCATGACAAAAGCAAGCATTTTTCATTTTTTTTTTTCAGCAAGGGAGTAAAAAGCCTGATCACATTTTCTAAAGCTCACTGGCTCTCTGGAGACTAGAACTGGGAGGGAGCAAGAGTGGGAGTAGGAATATCAGTTTGAAAACTACAGTGAAAGCAGGCAGTGTGGACCAGAGTATGACAGAGACAAGTGGGTTCACCTGTGCCTGGCCCTGAATAATACCAGTAAGAAACAACATACTTCTTTTCCAAAATGACAAGATTTCTTCTTTCTCCTCCTCCTCCCCCTCCCCCCCTCCTCCTCACCCCTCCCCCTCCTCCTTCTTCTTTTCTTCTTTGAGAGAGAGGGCATGGGGTGTACAGGGAAAGAGAGAGAGAGAAGCAGAATCTCAAGCAGACTCCCTGCTGAGCACAGAACCTGACACAAGGCTCAATCCCAGGACCCTGAGACAATGACCTGAGCTGAAATCAAGAGTTGGATGCTCAACCAACTGAGCTACCCAGGCACCCCAAAGTTTTTTATTTCTTAAATATATTTTTTAAAGATTTTATTTAATTATTCATGAGAGACACAGAGAGGCAGAGACATAGACAGAGGAGAAGCAGGCTCCATGCAGAAAGTCTGATGTGGGACTCAATCCGAGGACTCTGGGATAACACCCTGAGTCAAAGGCAGACACTCAACCGCTGAGCCACCCAGGTGTCCCTATTTCTTAAATATTTTGATGCAGTTGAACTACTTGAATATTATTTTATTATATTATTTATTGACTTGTATATATGTTAATTTTATTTATTGTTTTGATTCTAATTTAAGGTTTTTATTTCTTTACTCAGCTTTCATGAAACCATTTTTTATAAACTCTTTAGGTGGATTTCACACTTACATGTCTACATATGACACTTGCTATTAATCTCCAAACTTTTTCTCAGTCATTTCCATCTCAATAGTTTTAGTACCTCCACTCACGCTGGAAACATTAAGTCCTTTTATTTTCTAAATCAGCAGCTCTAATTGGACCTTTTTCTGAAATTCTGATATGTCCAAGAATTAGATAAGTCTCTGCCTACAGCCCCCTACACACACACACACACACACACACACACACACACACACACACACACACAATCCTGCAGAGAAGAAGTTGACTTCTATTTGAAGTCTCTCAAAATCTTTTGTCTTGCAGGGTACCTCCTGGGAATGTTACCTCACAATAGTTAGTAAAGAATATCATAAAATAAACAAACCTTCACTTTAAAATATCTAATAAATGGTCACGTTGTGGAAATCACAAATTGTATTTACCAGGTAACAGAAAGTCTATCCTAATGTTATCCAAAGAGTTCTTGTGGTTTGGAATGATTTTCATTGACAGGATTACATGTAGGTTCATTATATAAATGATAGATTCAGTTAAAGTGTCAAAAAACCTAAATAAAAGTGTAGATGCTGAGCTCTGGAGAACTCTTGGGTAACCCCAAGAAATAGAAGTCAGTGATGTCAGTGATTCAGGTGACAATTGTAAATGAGAATGTTCTTTAAATGTAATGATCGTTCAGGAACCTAATGTTTCTTGACTTTTGGATAAAAACTTTTTTTTTTTTGGATTAAAAACTTGATATCCTGTATTTACTATGTACTGCACTCAGTGTTCCTCCCTTAATAGCACAGCATATACCAGTCTTGCTTTTCTGTGTGCTTGTTACTCTTAGCATTCACTGTATTGTGAGGACTCTTGACACAGAGAGTGCTTACCTGTTTTCTTCCCTCATCTTCCCTCTGTATATACAGCAGATAATCAGATTGTTGTTGAGTAAGTAAATCAATCACTCTAGTATTTGAGCATAAACGCTCATGATCACTGCTTCTTGAGCGTATTTCATCTTTTCTCATTTAAAGTTTATGTTTATAAACATTTGTAACTTTTAAATGTTTTCATTTCTGTTAGAAAGGTCTTAAAGCTTTTATAAAAATTCCAATTAGTTATCATACAGTGTATGTCAAAATTTTTAATGTCCAGTAAGTAGATATTATATTTTGGAGGATTTTGTTTTGTTTGTTTTTAAAACTGGGATCTTAGGCTCTATGTCAGTTTTATTCAATGAGCATAATTGTTGGGGGATTTACACAGTATGATTCATTTTTTTCCTTTTTAGAAGAAGTCTGGCTAGATAACAATCTCAAAATGTGGCACCAGGATAATCAAGACAAGCTTAGAAGTATGGAGACAGGCCATGAATATGATGTTTTTAGGAAAATATTTCATTCAAGCATTAACTTTGTTCATTTAGGAATGAGACCCCATAAATGTGGCACAGGTGAAAAAAGTTTGAAACATCCCTTTGAGTTTCTTATTCCAAAAAATAACCATGGAAGAAAAAAGCTTGATGAGCTCAATAAGAAATATTTATTCTATATCAAAGCTGATAGAACTCATGGTGGAATGGCATACTGTGGTTGCAGTAAATGTAGAAAAGCTAGCAGTACAGGGTCGTGGCCCAATGCAAACCATGTAACACATACAGGAGTCCATTTATGCATGGAATGTGGCAACATCTTTAATAAGAAGTCACAGCTCATTATACATCAGCGAACTCACACAGGAGAGAAGCCCTATGGATGCAGTGAATGTGGGAAAGCCTTCTCACAGAAGTCATTGCTCACTATTCATCAAAGGACTCATTCAGGAGAAAAACCATATGGGTGTGGTGAATGTCAAAAAGCTTTCAGTAGGAAGTCACTGCTTATTTTACACCAGAGGACTCACACAGGAGAGAAGCCATATGGATGCAGCGAATGTGGGAAAGCCTTCAGCAGGAAGTCACAACTTAAAAGACATCAGAGGACTCACACAGTAGAGAAGCCCTATGGCTGCAGTGACTGCGGGAAAGCCTTCTCCCAGAAATTAAAGCTCATTACACATCAGAGATCACACACAGGAGAGAAACCCTATCAATGTAGTGACTGTGGGAAAGCCTTCTTCTGGAAGTCACAGCTGATTACTCATCAGAGGACTCACACAGGGAAGAAACCATATGCATGTAATGAGTGTACAAAAGCCTTCAGCAGGAACTCACTGCTCATCAGGCATCAGAGGATCCACACAGGAGAGAAGCCCTATGAGTGCAGCGAGTGTGGGGAAGCCTTCATCAGGAAACCACAACTTCTCAAGCATCAAATTACTCACACAGGAGAGAAGAACTATCAGTGCAATGATTGTGAGGAAGCATTCTTTAAGAAGTCAGAGCTGATCAGACATCAAAAAACTCATTTAGGGGAGAAACCCTATGGGTGTGTTGAATGCGGAAAAACCTTCTTTGGGAAGTCACAGCTGCTAACACATCAGAGAACTCACACTGGAGAGAAACCATATGATTGCAGTGAGTGTGGGAAAGCCTTCACCCAGAAGTCCAGCCTGATATCACACCAGAGGACACACACAGGGGAGAAACCCTATGAGTGCACTGAATGTGGGAAAACCTTCAGTGAGAAGTCAAGCCTTATTCATCACCAGAGAACCCATACCGGAGAGAAACCCTTTGAATGTGGTGAATGTAGGAAAGCATTTGCCTGGAAGCCACAGCTTCTTAGGCATCAGAGAATTCATACAGGGGAGAAACCCTATAAATGCAGTGAGTGTGGGAAAGCTTTTGTTCAGAAAGTGCAGCTCATTAAGCATCAGAGAAATCATACAGGAGAGAAAACCTATGGATGTAGTGATTGTGCAAAAGCCTTCTTTGAGAAGGCACAGCTTGTTATACATCAGAGAATTCACACAGGAGAGAGACCCTATAAATGTGGTGAATGTGGGAAGTCTTTTACCAGAAAGTCACACCTTATGAGACATCAGAGAATCCATACAGGAGACAAATACTATGTGTGCAGTGAGTGTGGGAAAGCCTTCAGCAGGAAGTCCCAACTCGTGATTCATCAGAGGACTCACATACTCTAGGAACCATGTGAGTACTGGAATGTGAAAAATCTCCTATCAGACATCATGCCTTCTGACATGTCAGAGGACACACATACACGGGAGGAACCCTGTCAGTGCCCTGTGAAGGCAAGTCTCACCCAACACTTGAGAAAAGAGGGAATCTTTTGAAGTAGACAGTGTAAGAGAGCCTTCTCCTAGAAAACACAACTGGTTACACATTACTGACTTAACATGGAATTCTTATCAATATTGTGGTACAGAATCTTGTAGTCAGAAGTGACAGCTCATTGTTAGAGGAACTACACTCAAGGAGAAACTGGGCCGTTGTAAAAAGCAAGTGAAAGGTTTCATGAAGAAAAGATAACTTACAGTACACTAGAGAATGCATACACAAAGGAAATACTGAATAGTATGAATTAGAGATTTTAATATAGAAGAGCAGTCCTAATTTGAAGAATTTGGATAAGCATGATCCTATTGAAAGAGTTCTATAACATTGTGTTTGTTGTATCTAAGTTTTTATTAAAATAGTTATTTTTAAGTGGTAGATGTGTTTGAAATGTGAAGACTTCTGCTTTCTGCTACAGTGGTATGGCAAGGAACAGATTAATTCCCCTGCCTTGAACAGCTAGAACCTGTAAAACATAAATGAAATGATAGTTTTGAGATCTATGGCAGGCAGAAGTTTGTGATTCCTGGCAGAAGGTAGACAGAGTGAGGTGAGCCCCATGACAGCCCAGCCTAGTGCCTGGTGGCAGTTCCCAGGCTGCAGTATTGTTGAAGAGAACTGCTGACTAGGCATTTGGGAAGGCCGTGGTAGCTAGAATTTGCAGGGGAAAGTACTGGGGAGGAGGGAGCTTTCCAGGAAGAGGGCTGCAGAAATCCAAGGAGTCCTCTTGAGTCTCTTGGCTTAGTGCTGATCTACATATGTGTGTGAAAGGAAAAAGTAGTTCTGGAAAGCAGTAGGCTGAACAGTTCCTAGAAATCAAAGCAGGGCTGCGAGTAAAGTTCCCACCAGCTTTGAACACATGGGGCATCAGGTAGGGTTCTCAGCAGAGTAAACCTTGTGAAGTAATTAACCCTAGATTAAAATCCACTCTGGACCCACAGTGTGTGGCATCCAAAAACTTAGCTGGCATGCGAAGAAGCTACAAGAATACAACTTGTAACCAAGACAAAAAATGATTCAGTAGGAAGAGACATAAAAGAGACCAAGACAGTTGGCATTAGATAAGGATGTTCAAGTAGCTTTTATAAATACACAGGAAAATGTGAATGTGATAAAACCTGAAGTGGAAGATGTATTTTAAAAAGCCCAAGTGTGGGGATCCCTGGGTGGCTCAGCAATTTAGCACCTGCCTTTGGCCCAGGGCATGATCCTGGAGTCCCGGGATCAAGTCCCACATCAGGCTCCCTGCATGGAGCCTGCTTCTCTCTCTGCCTGTGTCTCTGCCTCTCTCTCTCTCTCTCTCTCTCTCTCTCTGTCTCTCATGAATAAATAAATAAAATCTTTTTTAAAAAAAGCCCAAGTGCAACTTCTCAGGATGAAAACAGTAGTATCTGAGGATTAAAAAAATGACCAAAAACAGCCTACTTTGAATGGAATTAAGAACAGATCAGACAAAGAAAAAGAAACGTTGATGAACTTAAGTACGAACAAAAACTGTCCAACTGCTGTACACAGAGAAAAAAAAGACTGGAAGAAAAGAGAGGAGGGAGTCAGTTGCAGTGGGACAACCAACATACATCCGAAGTGGAGTTGTAGGAGAGGATGGGGAAGAGGCATGAGAAAGTATTTGAGTAAATAATGGCTGAAATGTTTACACATAGGATGAAAAGTGTGACACCACATATTTCAGATGTTCAAAGAACCCCAAACAAGATATGTAAAGAAAATCCTGCGAATGGACATCATAGTCAAATTGATGAAGAACTATTGTAAGACACCTAGAGAAAGATAGGATATGGTCACAGAGCAGAGAATGACAGCACACTCCTGCCCAGAAAGTACTTGAGCAAGAAGACAGAGTGACCCCTGCAACCTGGCATTTGTCTGTTACCCATCTTTCAAAAATGAAAGCAAAAGGAGACTTTTTCAGAAAAAGTCAAAGAGAATTTATTAGCTCTAGGCCTTCCTTCAGGAAACCTTAAAGTAAGTTTCAGCACAGCGGGAAAATCATCCTCAATAGAAATGTGGATCTACAGGACAAAATGATGAGTTCTGGAAAAGATGAATATGTGGATAAACAATAAATGATTTTTTTCTCATTTTAAAATCTTTGAAAAAGGTAATCGATTGCTTAAGGCCAAAGTAGTGACAATGTATTGTGGGAGTAAAGTGTACAACAACAACACTTAGGTATGAATTTTCAAACACAGTTAAATAGATTGCATGATGTGAGTTAGAAACCTGTTCCTCAGGCTCAGAGTGACTCTCTAGCAGCTACACTGCACATAGGCTGGACCTGGATAGGTCCTGGTTGTGACCTACTTCTCCCTGCCCTGCACTCTCAGGGGCTGCCCCACTAATTTTTCTGCTTAGGCCCAACCATGGGAGGGGCTAGATCAGCCGGTGGGAGAGGAAAGGCTGGAACATGTATTCCTCCCAGCTCCCCTTACTGGACCTTGGTTTTGGGCGAGTGTATGCCTGTATGGCTGCAGCTCCTGCTGGGCAGCGCTCCTCTGGGGCTGTAGACTTCTCAGTTAACACCTCCCTCTCCTTGCTCTTCAGATACTTTACCATCTCTGGTTGGTGTCCTTAATTATGAACACATATGTAAATAGTCCCTCTATTAAATGTTCTTGAGTTAATATTCTGAGTGTACCATTTGTTTTCTGTGCCATGTTAAATGATGAGCATTTAACAAAATTTTGAGTGTCAACTATTGGTACATGTGCCTCATAGGGCATAGACTGATATCTATCAAGATTTCCCATACTGAGTGTCAATGTTTTCTCTTCGTTTTTAAGCAATTCAATAGAAATTACATTACAAAGTTCTTTGTGTTTTTTTTGTTTTGTTCTCCTGCAAATGTGAATGGCTCCACAGATTATCATCTGCTACATATCTAATGGTCTTGCAGTTATTACCAACCCTTCTTCAATAAGAGAAACTAAAACATTTATGAAGTCTCATGCTATCTCTGGATTAGCCAAGCAATTTACAAAACACATTGGCATTATGTTCAATATGTATGGACAAGAAAAAGATAATGAGTTACTGCATGAGGTAGAAAGGAATGATTGTGCTGTGCATACCGTCATTCCGTATTGTGCTTTTTATTCTATATAATCTATATAATCTGTAGCCCATGGACAAGATTCTCATGTCAGTAGTCAGAATTGCCAGAGTCTCTAAAGCTCCACACCATTGCCCATCACCAACACCATAGTCTAGTCATGTAGACTACCAATGATCCCCAACACAGCAGCCCCATACGTGGTCATTTGTCAAACACCTCTTAAGAATTTCACCTTTCTTTATGATCTCTCACCCAGTCCTTTTCCCTTGGTACCCAGAGCACTTTTGAAGGGAAATAATTGCCATCAGGCTACCCAGCTGCATTTTCTCTCCAGGTGCTTTTCCATTTCAATATGCATTTTGAGGAAGCTTTTCACGCGGGTCTTCCATTTTGTATAACCCTGAAACACACCATTCACAATGCAGTCTGTGCCAATAAACTTGTGTATTACACTGGTCCTGTCTTTAAGGAATTAGCTTGCAAATGAAATCAATGTCTCGAGGCTTGGTAGTTGGAATATAGTGCTGTGACACTTACCTGTAACAGTTTCTCTGTAATAGGACTGTGTGCTCTATATCTGATAGCAAAATGGTTTCTACCAATACAGCTCTCCTCGGGCCCCATGTGTTTGTCACATAGTGAAGGCAAGGCCATGCTCACTCTCCTCTTAGAAAACTTGGGACGCCTGGGTGGCTCAGTGGTTAAGCATCTGTGTTCGGCTCAGGGCGTGATGCTGGGGTCTGGGGATCAAGTCCCATGTCGCGCTCCCTGCAAGGAGCCTGCTTCTTCCTCTCCCTCTCTGCCTCCTTTCTGTGACTCTCATGAATAAATAAAATCTTAAAAAAAAAAAAAAAGGAGAAGAAGGGAAAACTTTCTCTCATGATGTCTGCAGCTTAGAAGCAGGCAGTGTAACATCTCATTACCAGCTCACAAGCATGACAAGTAATAAGTTCCAGCATTGCATGCCCCACCTGTGGATTTAGTGATGCTATCTGATCATTGTTTATTTCCTTTGTGGGGTCTTTGCAATTTAGAGCACAGTCATTACTCATTGTATCCGGGTAGTCTTGACTTCATGTCATTGAGACTGTTACTTCCAGAATGCTAGGATTAAATAAGCCAGGGAACACCAACGTTAATGCCTAAATCATTATACTTAGGTATTTTGCAACACCTACATCATTACAAGTGCCCAACACAGAGTGTGTTGCTTTAGAAGCAGTCATTGGTAAGATGAAAAGAATACAAATGAAATGACATTTGTCATTTGAAGTTCTCATTTAAAGCACTGCTATCATTCCTGTCATTACAATTTATATAAAAGCCACATTAAGCTCAGATTCACAAGAAGATGGGGAAGCAGATTAACTTCTGGTGTTTGTTAGAGTGGTCATGCTAAGGGAGCATTTAAACCACGGACTTGCTACCGCTGTAGCCAGCAAAGTGGCTTGTGGGTTTATCTCCAAACTGTGGTGATCACAGGGCAGCAATCAGTGAATGAGCAAGTTAATGTATACTTACTCTATCACATGTTTGTACAGAGCAGGATGTGTCAGGTGAGGACACCTGAGCTCCTGGCCAGCTGTGCTTCACATACAAGGTTAGGTCAGACCACTAATGGGAAAGGTTGGGTCGCTGTCATTTTGTGAGGAGCAGCCTGTGAACTGTCTTCACTGCCTGGTACACCGAGAGCACAAACTGTGCTAGCTCAGACCTATGGCCACACTGCTCTTTGCTGTATTGGAAAACAAACTCTTTGTACCTATATGTTTACTCAGTAAACTGTTCAATGATTGAGTATGCGTGTGTGTGTGTGATTCTTGGTAACAGGGAACTCTAGCCTCCATTCAGCTAAGCATCGCAAACCAAATCTGAGTTCTCAATCAGCGTCCAGGTTTATCATCCACACACACCTGAAACTGAGGAAAGCACCTCTCCACTCAGTTGTTGGCGGTGGCCCTTGGTTCGCTAGCTGGGGTCTGGGGTCCGGGGTCCGTGCTGAAGTAAAACCTGCTGCTCACAAACCAACCTGGAGACTCCCCTAGTCCTCTGCAGCTTCAAAGAGTACGGTACTTACACTTTAGCTACACCGAGAGAGCAGCTTCTAAGAAAAACAGAGGTGGGCCGCATGCACCTTGACCTTCTGTGTCGGGTGTCACCCCCTCGGACCCCCCTTGCACACACGGACAGTGTCTTCTTGCAGACCACCCAGGCCAAACCGGGTCGGGTGCTGTGCCCACAGGAGACGCAGTTTTCTTTCTTTTTTCTCTTTTTACAATTTTGTTTTTAAGTAGTCTCCACACCCAACATGGGGCCTGACCTCACAACCCAGGGGTCTGGGATGGCGGGCTGCAGCCGCTGGGCTGGGCAGGTGCCCCACATTCCTTTTCTGTCTTAATGCCTTCCGCCCGTACCTGAGTGTGGTGCTAAACTCCAAGCTTTTGCCTCGCTGAGAGGTCCTGCAACGGGAACCGCAGCACTTGTTAGGCCTTGCGCACCGCAGGGCGCCTCCCCGCGCAGCCGCCGACCCTCGGAAGGTCCACCGAGCCGACTGTGAGCGTGCCGCAGAGGCCTCTGGGAGATGTAGGCCTGGGGGAGCGGCAGGCGCTCTGGGAAATGTAGTTCTGAGCGCGCACGTCGGCAACCCGCCGGCGCAGCGTGGGGGCTGGGCGGCCTCCGGGTCCCGCCGGCAGGTCCGCCGATGGGTGCCTCCCGCGCGGGTCCGCTGGTGCGGGCAGCTTCGCGGCCGGCGCGGTGTGGGGCGGTCAGCTGGGGTCGGGAGTGCGGAGGTGCTGGCGGCAGCCGGTGCCCGAGCACTCCGGGAGAGGGTCTTGCATGGGGCGCAGCCGCCGGGGCAGGCGAGTGCGGAGGATGCCGAGGGGGTGAGGTGCCGAGCGTGGCTGGGCGCGGCGTGCGGGGTCTGCGGTAGCGGTGGGTGGTGGGGCCGCCGCAGGCCGGCGCGGCCCGAAGGTGCGGGAAGGTGGACGTCGGAGGTCAGGGCTGGGGGAGCCTGCAGCGGCCGGCGGCGCTGGTGGCACGCGCTGACCCGGACCCCGAGCCGCCGGGGTGACGCCTTGCGGATGGCGGGGGCTCCCGAGCCCTGCTTGTGGGGGACATTCCCGCAGGAGGACTTCGCGCCGAACTTCGGGACGCGAGCCGCGGGGGCCTGCGGGGAGGGGCTTCTGGGCCTGCAGCCGCCACTCGGGACGGGAGGTGCCCCCTACTGCAGGAGCCGGGGCGCTGGCTGGCTCGGGCGGCAGAGCGGGGACCTTCGGTCTCGGGTCCTGAGTTCGAGTTCCTATTAGGCACACAGCTTGCTCTAGAGAGAAAACAGGGACTCGGGAACTATAGGGTGAGTGGTTTGGTAGCTTGGGGATGGAGGTCAGGGGGCCACGGGGATACCCGGGGACATGGGAGATTTGCACTACTGGGGCGACAATTCGTGGGGACAGTCGGACGCGCCATCAGGAAGCCAATAGGGGTTAATAAGTGTGAGGGGAGTGAGGGGCTTGGGGTGAGTGGTAGGGCTGCGGGAGTTAGGGATGGGCCAGCTGCGTCTGGCCTTGCTGAGATGCTGGGCGGGGTGAGGGTCGGGTTGGGGAGCACGTTGTGGGATGACAGGAGGTCCCTGGGCCTCAAGATAGCGTGGCCTTGGGGGTCAGTGATCGAAGACTAGGGGTGTCAGCTGATTGGGTGACCTACACGATATATTCACAGGTCTATGGTTGTATTTGTGGGTCTGAAAGTGGGTTTACTATATAGCACAAAAGGCAGTTCAGGGGCAGCCCGGGTTGGCTCAGCGGTTTAGCGCCGCCTTCGGCCCGGGGCCTGATCCTGGAGACCCGGGATCGAGTCCCACGTCGGGCTCCCTGCATGGGGCCTGCTTCTCCCTCTGCCTGTGTCTCTGCCTCTCTCTCTCTCTCTGTCTCTCAGGAATAAATAGATAAAATCTTTATTAAAAAAAAAAGTAATTGTTACTGATACGTATTTTCTGATTTCTCTGTAATCGTGCCATGTAATAATAAGAGCACTAATGAGCATTTACTCAATGTCAGTGTGTTAGTCATTGTTCTAAGGTACTTAGATGTGTTAACTAATTTAGAACTCTCAAGAACATTATAAACTATTTGTATTTTGAGGAATAACTGCTGAATTGTTCATTTCATGAACTGCTGGATTCAGTTTCCTCTTTTACTCATGCCTTTACGTAAAAATGAAATTGAGGTTCTTATTTCCTGTTGGCTATAAATTTTTACACACACACACACACACACAGTTTCTGTCTCCCTGCTCCACTTCCATCCAGAGGGAATGAGCGCTTGGTGAAATGCTGCTATTGAAGTTGCGGGCTTCCTTCTGCATACTCCACTATTTTGACTCTTTGTTAGGTATGTGTAGAGTCCATAGGAAACCTACTTTGAGCTTTAAATGCAAGTGAGTTTCCAGCAAGAGAGGGAGATTTGCATCAAACTAAAGAGAATTTGTTAATGGATTGAACAGATTCCAGTTTCCATGAGCTAATGGACTTATTTGAGATAAAGAAGTCTCAGGACAAGGATCCTTGGTGCAGAGAATCCTGACCAGGTACCTTTAACTTGAGCATTAAGATAGAGTCCAGAAGATACACAGAGTCCAGAAGGACAGAGCAGAACCTACAGTTACTGGCCATTTCCCAAGAGTAGCAGAAAAAGACCAAGTCTCAGGTGAATAATTCATTTATTTCCTCAATTGTGGTTCCATACGATTCAACCATTTCAACTGAACACTTTACTGTTTTTTTTTAGTAAGTTTAGAGGTTTCCGTGACCATTTAATTGTTCAGCCACAATCTAATTTTAGAATTTTTCATCCTCCTAAAAGGAAAGCTCATACACTTAGCAGGTATTCCCCATTTCTCCCCACCCCAGCTCTAGGCCACCACAACATGCTTTGTTTCTTTGGAGTTGCGCATTCTCCCCATCTCGTATCAGTGGGACAGCACGCTACATGGTGTTTTGTGACTAGCTTCTTTCGTGTAGCCTAGTTTCAAGATGGGGAATGAGTTACTACTTTGTTGTCTTTTGTTGTAAAATAATATTCTGTTGTGTGACTATACCACATTTTATCAGTTCCCCATTTTCTAGACATTTGGATTGTTTCCACATTTTGGTTATAATGGATAATGCTACTATGAACATTTGTGTATATGGTCTCTGTTCTCTTAGGTATGTATCTAGGAATGGAATTGCTGGTTCCTGTGGTAACTATATTTAAGAACTGGTAAACTTTTTTTAAAATATTCTTTTTTTAAGATTTACTTTTTTATTTTACAGAGACAGCATGGGTGAGCAAGCAGGGTGGGAGTGGAGCAGAGGGAGAGGGAGAGAGAGAATCTAAAGCAGACTCCCTGCTGAGCACAGAGCCTGACCTGGGGCTTGATCCCATGGCTGTGAGATCAGGACCTGAGCTGAAATCAAGAGTCAGACACTTAACAAACTGCCACCCAGGGGCCCTAATGATAAACTTTTTTTAAAGTGACTGCTTCATTTTACAGTCACACCAGCAATATATGAGGGCTTCAACTTCTCCACCTCCTCACCAACACTTATTCTCTGATTATGGCCATTCCAGTAGATATGAAATAGTACCATTGTGGTTGTCATTTGCATTTCCCCTCTGTACCCATATTGATGTGTCTGGGTATAAAATATTTATTCACATTCTTTATTGTGTTCAGTTGGAAGGTTCTTGTCTGCCTCCAGCTTTGGGGAACTTTCTTGTTTGATTTTACTGATTATTTCCTCCCCTTTATTATCTATTATCTTTAGCTCTGGAGTACTTGATGGATTTTTGGATCTATCCTCTTGAGTTTAAAAACTTTTCTTTGGAATGCCTGGGTGGCTCAGAGGTTGAGTGTCTGCCTTTGGCTCAGGGCATGATCCTGGGATCCAGGATCAAGTCCCACATTGGGCTCCTTGCAGGAAGCCTGCTTCTCCCTCTGCATATATATCTCTGTGTCTCTCATGAATAAATAAATAAAATCTTTAAAAAATAAAAATAAAAACTTTAATATATCTGACTTCATCTTTATTCTTGCAGAGTTCATCAGTGTGGTAATACACACTGCAAACATCCTCTTTCAGTAGATACATTCTGCTGTTTGGCCAGTATATCGAGCTTTTTTTTCCATTCAGGTTTTTTTTTTTTTAATTCTTTTTTAATTTTTATTTATTTATTTATGATAGTCACAGAGAGAGAGAGAAACGCAGAGACATAGGCAGAGGGAGAAGCAGGCTCCATGCACCGGGAGCCCGATGTGGGATTCGATCCTGGGTCTCCAGGATCGCGCCCTGGGCCAAAGGCAGGCGCCAAACCGCTGCGCCACCCAGGGATCCCTCATTCAGGTTTTATTAACAACTCATTGAATGATTCATTCAGATGTTTCAACATGTTGGTTGAAGAAAAGGGCCTGAGACGCAAATGTTGTTTGCATTAAGATATTTATTTCAAGGGACACCTGGGTGGCTTGGCAGTTGGGCATCTGCTTTTCGGCTCAGGGCATGATCCTGGAGTCCCAGGATTGGGTCTCACATCGGGCTCTCCCTCTGCCTATGTCTCTGCCCGACCCCCTCTGTGTCTCTAGTGAATAAATAAATAAAATCTTAAAAAAAAAAGATATTTGTTTCAAAATCAAAAATATTTTTTTTCTAGAGATTTTAACCTAGCTAGGATATAAAAATCCAGATCTTGTTTTGGCTTGAAATCATTCTTTTGTTTTTTTTTTTTTGTTTGTTTTTTAAATTACCCATAGTGTGTTAG